CCCCCCCCAAAAAAAAAAATCAACAAAAATAAAAGTTAAACTGGGAAAACAGGATTCCGATCAGGAACTTTCCTCAAAAAGCCCTTGCAAAATCAAGCCCAGAGGTTTCCTAATCAGGCTCCTGCATGAGCAAGGGGAGCTCCCACTTCCGAAGCCCAAGCCCTGTCCTGCCTAACCCAAGCCCTCTAAAGAGCCCTTTAAAGATGAGTGTGTGTGTATATATATATATGTATATATCTCTACTGTAATATATACATACATGTGTATATATATATATAGATAGATAGATATAGATCTAGATAGACCCTAAAGCCAAAAAGTCCGAGGACGTGAGCATCAATCACAAAGACTGGGCGGCAAGCATTGTCTCGAAGATGACCGAAGAGGTACCTCTTTCGGGTTCTAGTCGGTTTGGGATTCTGCTTAGATGTGTTGTTCTTTCCAGGTTCATTAAGGTTTGGATTCCTCTTTAAGAGTTCGTCTAAAGGTTATAGGGGGGGTTGTAGTGTTTTTAAGTGTTTGCGGGTTCCTGGAAAGGTTCGACAAGGGCTTAGAGTCTTCGAGTAGGGTTTCTGCATGTTCGGCGCTTAAGTTTTCGTTGCAATTAGTTCGTGTTCTTCCGGGTACTTTGTCCATCTCAAGAGGATCCTGACTATAAACTGGGAGAGTCCAAAAAGAAACTGCAGCGAACATACTTGGTATGGGGTCCTTGCGTCACACCGAGCCCCAGAAGCACAGTGACTTGTGCAGGAAGCTTGTTGCCATTGTGCTAGAAAGTGGGGTCTGAGGGAAGACCTCTCTTCAAGGGCCTTTCAGCTTGGGACCCCTGTAAGCTGTTCTAAAATCCCTGGGTCTGCATCGCATCAAGCATGACATAGGCAACTTGTTCAGGCCAAGCTTGTGGCCTTGTGCTTGTGGCCTCCTTCTGCGCTTTTTCTAGCCTCTGTATCTCTTGCCATGTCTGTTTTCACGGCACCCCGACACCCACTGTGAAACTCGCGGTTCTAAGGAGCTCACAGAGGGGATAGAACAGTTTACAAAAAACGCGTGTAGCATCTCTTAGCCTCTCTTTTTGGAAGGATGCAGGGCTTTTGCACGTCGGTACACAGGGAGGCGTGCATCCAAAGCAGGCGATGGAGAGATGGATAGAGCGACCATGCGTTCGCACGTGTACTGATATGCATGCATGCTCACACATTGCATGGTATGCGGCACACTTTTTCTAGGGTTGTAAGCATGGTACAAGCAAGAACACGTTTGAGGGGATCCAACCGCAAACATAACAAGGAGCTGTTTGTGGAGCCATGGCAGCGCCGCAGCTGAAGTTTCATGGCTCCCCGGGGCGGATGACTGCCGCAACGCTTCCGGCACTGCTGCTGTTGCTGTGCATGTACTCTGCGGAGGAGTATCTGGGCTCAGTCGTGTGTCTGCTCTTGTCGGTGGCTTTTGTAGCCCTAGCTCTACACACCGGCATTGCACCTGCTTATTTTCCTCATGTGGACCATCCCCTGCACGTGCTCGACCGGCTACGATGGGGCTGCGGCTGCGCGGCTCTGCTCATCCTCCTCTTGGCGTCCCGGTGCAGTAACGGGTGCGTCTTCTCCTACGTGAGCCTCCGCTCGCAAGCAGTTCTGAGCGTGCAGGACTACTCCGAAGCCGGCGTGGCCGATGCAGGGCTCGTGCAGATCAATGGCATGATGGATAGCAGTCGAATTGGCGCGGTAGCCTCATGCAGCTCCTGTACAGCCAGCGAATGTGCCAGGAAGGACTGCAGAAGGGAAGCTGCTCTCAACAACATCTCGGACCTTCCTCAGATGGAGGGCCTCCACAAACTAAACTTCCTTGACAACCCGATCCTCTTCCGTCGTCTCAGCGGTGCGGGCAGTGGTGGGGGCGGTGGGGGTGGTGGCGGTCACGGCGGAAAAGGCAACACTTGCTCGATCACGTGCCTCTACGTTGCACCTTTGTTGCCAGCCGCTGCTTGGTCTCCCCAGTAGTAAGTAGAGCCCTTTTATCTTCTTTGGGTCGCAGGTATAGTAGGATGTCCGTCTCAAGATTTAACTAGTACGAGAAACGGACCCCTTGTTAGAAATGGTATGTCGGTGAGAACCTTGGGTGTCACGGGGATCTGTGCAATCACTTATAGTATGAGCACTTATAGGACGCATGTATGACCCCTATGGATCCTTTCTGGGACCCTTACGGGAACCTCGTAAGCACTCGTCCTATGGAACCCCAATAGAACCCTCTTGGGAGCAGCGTAAGACCCAAAATACAACCTTTCTAGACCTCTGGTATGTGGCCCGTCTAAACCCCCCCCAAGCCAAAGCCCACAAAAACCCTTATAGACCTTAATTCCAGACCATCCTAAACCCTAGGCCTAGAAGCCTCGCCAGGCTTGTCCCAGTTGCGCGTGCTGGAACCTGAAACCCTAAGCCTCCCCTAAACCCTAAACCTAAACCGTAAAAAAGCTTAAGCCCTCAACCCTAATTTTCTAAGCCTAAACCCACAAAAAACCCCTAAACCTATAAACCCTCTATGTATATGTATATTATATATATATACCTAAGCCTATATATCCTAAACCCTAGACTTAAACCTATCAACCCTAAACCCTCGACCTAAACCATAGACCCTAAACCCTCGACCTAAACCTATAAACCGTAAACCCTGTACCGAAACCTATACACCCTAAGCCCTAGACCTAAACCTAAGCCCACAAAAAAAGCTCAAACCCCAAACCTTATACCTAAGCCTACATGTCCTTGCTAAGTAGGAGGGAAAGATACCCAAGCCTACACCCCCAAAAAGGCCTTAAAACCCCGAATCCTGGACCTTCTAGGCTTACGGCAAGGGCTCCTCCATGCACACGGGGCGACCTGTGGCCTGGGCCGTGCAGTCCGGGTCTGCGCCCAGCCCCGAGCAGAGGTTCGAAGTCATCGGCGCCTGGGTCCTTTTAGGGTTCGGGGCTTTTAGGGTTTGGGGTTTAGGCCCTATAAGCCCTAAACCCTCCTAAACTTTAGACCCTAAACCTAAACACAAATGACGGTTAAGGGTTTAGGGTTTTGGGTTCTGATTCGAAGTCATCGGTGCCTGGGCCTGGGTCCTATATATAGGTCCTTTTGTTCAGGGCGTCGTAGGGTTCGGGGTCGAGGGTATACAGGGGTTTAGGGTTCAGGGTATCTAGGGCAATATAGGGTTTAGGGCCGGTTTGGGCTTCAGGGTTTAGGATTTAGGGCATACTGTTGATTGTGTTGGGACTTCTGAGAAAATGGATTCCTTGAGGGGTGTGGATAGAGTCCATCCAGCAATGTAAATGTTATCGGATCTGAAGATTATCAGAAGACTGGCAACATGGGGAGCATTCTCGTGAAGCGGCTATCGGGAAACCTAGGCACTTCTCATTTCGATTGGTGGTCTGGCAACCGCAAAGGGTATCAGCGAGCCATGGATGATCTGCTGCGCAACCAGCTACCTTCGGGCTTGCGTCACTGTGATGGCCTCCAGGCTGTCCATGATTCCAAAAGCTGGTGGACAGGTTGCTGGGCTTTGCTCAGGAAGGTCAGATTTCACCCTTACGTTTGTACGCTAAACCTAGACCCGAAACCAAGTTGTGGCAGATATCTACAGCAACAAAGCACGTCTCCATAATTACCGAGATCAGGTTACGGCCACAATGGCTTCATAGACTGTCCACGGGAGCTCAAAGGGGAGTGCTGTTGCCCCCTGGGCCACCGAATCCTCGAAGATCGCTGCGAGCCTTGTGGTGACTTCGCCAAAACCCTGCACCCCAAATTTTGTTTCTATAAAGCCTTCAGGGTTACTGTAAGGGATGCTTATGGCTCCTTCTAGGGTCCTGTCAGGGTTCCTATAGAGGTTCCTACAAACCCAATACCCTTTCGTAAACCCCCTAAGCGTTGAAAGCCTACAGGCTGTTCTGAATTCAGGTGACTTCGCCGACGCCGTCGAAGAGTTGCATGCCCTGCCATTGCTCTACACTCTGAGCCCGGAGTCCGGCTCCTTCGCCTCGGTAGTAGAGTCAGGAGCCTTTTCATCTTCGTTAGGTACTTTCGCCCAAGGGCAACCTGTAGTTCCCCTCGAATAGTTCTGAGTTTCTCAAGAATTCCGGGGTTTGCGACGCCAAAAAGTCAAGTCTTTCATATTTTTGAGGGTGTTATTGGACAACTGAGGCAAGGCAAGCTTTCATGTGATGCTGCTGCTCGCCTGTTTCGCCCTGCCACTTCCCTGGGCCTTCCTAGCACAGCTGAGATGGCGGCTTGGCTGGAAGCGCGCGGAGGAGGCCTATACACCTTCAACCCAGCAGCCTAAACTCCACTTTAAACCGTCAGCTGAACCCAGAAAGGCTTCCACCCCAAAGCCCAAGAGGCGTTTCTACACTACGCCGCCCGGCATCAGCGGAAGGAGGCGGCGGAAAGCTGGGGAAAATTGGGAAGACGGGGCGCTTCCCAAGGGCCCATCACGGTGGAGGCAGCCGGGTTCTTGTTGAGGAGCGCCTATTTCCCAGACCCCAGAGAGAGGATTCAAAATGAAAGGTAGATCCCCCAAATGGGGTTCCTACAAAGGTATGCTGTAGGTCCGGGGATCGACTTCTTTAGATCCTCGTCAACATGGGTTTATGCAATATAAACTGTATGCTTTCTCTGTGTATAAGCTCCCAAACTTAACACCCCATAAGCGCTCCCTAAACCAAATTCGAAGCCCTAAAGCCTCCTTATAGAACCCTTCTAGCCCTTGAAGAAACCTTGCCAAACCCTATACCACTTTTCGACCCCTCAAGCCTCACCGATCTCGTAAAGGAGCCCTTAAAGAAACACTAGAGAAACCCCCCAAATAAACCCTATAAAGCCCCATAGGTCCCTGAAGGGTGGGGGCCCTATTCTACCCTAAACCCTTATCAACCCACTCCGAGGTAAGTTCGATGTCCGGCGAAACTCGGAAGGCACCGGGATTCCACGGCTCTTCTCTTCTCCTACATCTTCGAAAGGACGTAGGGTTTTAATGTTAATGTAAGGGGGGGCCACAGGCTATTTTGTGCAGCGCAGACTCCCTAGATCCCCCAAAAAGCCCTAAACCCATCCTTGGATCCCTAGAGGAAGCGTCAGCCATCTTCCACATGGACTTCGTGAATGTTGGCCTGGTGGTCGGTTCCCGCGTGCTGCCAACAGATTTGGATTTCAAGACCTTGGACGAGCTGCTGGATTACATCCAGGATTTCGGGGAGAGCCGGGTGAAAGCTTTCTGGGTTTGGGCGATTGGGGGCCAGCAGTTTCTTGGGCATCGTGGTGTCGTTAAACACTCTACGCCCAAAGCCCTTGTGTAACAAGTAAATATAAAAGCCAGTCTTGGTGTTGATGCAGCGCTCCGAAGGACAGGCTTGCTAGGGCCCCGAACAGCCCCACAGATTCACCCCAACCCCAACCCCTGCTGCCGAAACCTTCGCCACCTCATCGTTTCGTCGCACTGCCTATGTTAACGGTGTGGTACAGTAGCTCCTCGACGGTAATCTTAATGTGTAGCCTTTTTTTGCTAACACCCTGCTCTGCGGCCCATGTCCGGGCCTTGCAGGAGGCGAAACACACCCCCTAAGCTCTCAAGCTCGAACCCCTAAGTGCAGAACCTTGCAATTGCAAGCTTAAACGCTAGTTAAACCCTACGAAGCTAAACCCCTAAACCTTGGGAAGTCTCCCCCAAAAGATCCTGTAAGCCCAGGCTGGGCATTGTCGATGGCACCTTCCTTTCCGTGGTTTTTATGCAGCTGGGCTCTTGTGAAGGAGGGTAACTCAAGGGTTTATAGAAGGGTTCCCAGAGGGTTCTTTTCGGGCTTTGTACGGGGAGGCCTTCAGAGAAGACCTATGTCTTAAACCCAACAGCCCCAAACCCTAAACCCCACAACACCCAAACCCTAAAGCGTTTAAGGAGGACCCTAAGCCCAGAGCTCAGGCCGCCAGAAGAGCCGTCTTGGCGCGACCGCCTGGCTGGAACTTCGGAGAGTCATGCCTACACCTTCTTCCGACGTACCTAGGCGATTTTGCGTTCGCAGTGCTTAGGGGCCTTATAGGGGTCTACATCTTCTTCCGACAAATCTGGGCGATTTTGAGTTGATAGGGCTTAGAGGTTGTAGGGGTTTCATAGCTTCTTCCGACGTAGCTGGGCGATTTTGAGTTGATAGGGGTATATGCATAGCCCGTGTGCAAAGGAGGTTTTGGGGGTTTTCCATTTCTTCCGACGTGTCTTGGCCATTTCTGAGGGCGATGAGGGTTGCACAGGACTTTAAAGGGCTAAAGGTTTTGCCTACTCATTCCCACGTGTCTTGGCTAGTTAGGGCTTCGGGGCTTTACATTTCTTCCGACGTGTCTTGGGCCTTGACTTTCAGGATTGTATATGGGTCAAGTTCTGGATGCAAGGTTGCATCTGGGCTAGTGTAAAGTAAATAGAGATGTCTAGGGGTTGAACGTGTTACATACTTCTTCCGACGCGTCTTCTGTAAATTTTCCTTAAAGGTTGAGCTACAGGTTTTGGGCTTTTCACCGGTATTGGTGTGTGTTTTCGCTTGTTCTTCCGACTCCCGACGCGTCTTGGAGTCTTACCGACTCGAAGGCGGTCCTTAAATTAAAGCACCGTAAAACTCCAAGATGCGGCGGAAGAAGGTTACAGGGGCTGGGGTTGAGGCGTTTACACCCTGCTGGTAAGTGGTTTCTTCTTTCCCTCCTTCCGATGCGTCTTGGAGTTTAAGGGCTTTTTGGGGGTTCGGGTTTCGGATCTGGGTCTTGTAAGGATTTTTATAAGGTTTAGGGCGTCACCTTCTTCCTTTACCATCTGCATCTTGAATTTTAGGTGCGTTAAGGGCTTAGGGCTTATAGGGGTCAACAGTTTAGGAGTTGGAGGCCTAAAGGCGAAGCCCTAGCCAAACAGGGTTTGAGGCCTGACTGGGTCAAGTTTCAGGGACTTCTTGTGCTTTCCTTGCTACATACCCGGTTTAAGTGCTTGAGTTTTGGGCATGTGAGGGTTTGAGCAAGGTGAGGCAGTTAGCGTGCTTCCGGCATTCCTTGTATTGCACATATGTACAAGTGTACGTATATACATATACGCATACCCGTTCGGCTTTTCATGTAGTTAGCCAGCTAGCTTTATAGTTTGCTTGTCTTTTGTTTGTTCGACAGTGATTTTACCTATTCATTCGCGTTCATCTGCAGGTTTGCTTAAGACTAGCCTGAACGGCTTCATCGAGCTGTGGCACCCGTTTATAAGTACATCCATGTTACAATGTTTGAACCATCCTAACTTCGATCGTCCAACATACCACCTTGTAGCGTGCGCAGATGTGTTCCTTGTGGCTGTAAGGCAATCGCAACGTCTACCGTGCAAGAGACTGCCAACACCTCGGGCAGCTGCGTTTGGCCCAGGGCAACACGATCAACTTCGGGCAGTCGTGCCTAGGGTGATCTTCAGCATGGATTTGACTGTCAGTGTAGTTCAGTCGTAAAGCAGGAAATAAAGACTTAAGGGCTTCGCAAAAGACAGGTACACCAAGGGCTGGACCTGTGATGGCTGCGAGAAGTTCTTTCCACCCGGTACGATGCTCCGACGCTGCGACATCTGTCGGATTGACTTCTGCGAGCGCTGTGCAGCCAGCGCGGGCTTTCCAAGTATCCCAGACGAGGATTTGGGAGACTAGGGCAAGTAGAGGAGATCGTACAACCAAGTCCCAGGACAGCAAAGTCTATAGATCTCAAGCTCTTGCAGTATGACGATCTTTATGATTAGATGGTCATGCAGCCTTTCCAAGTCTCCGGCCTGGGTGTTGGCCCAGTTGTGGTGGAAAGCTTTCCAGTCAAAGCTGCTCCATGCGCCGTTCGGTACCAGCCGAGACTGGCGACGGCACCGGATACAGCTGTAGGACCGACGCAGTCGGAAATCCTTGTATCACCCTGAGGCACTAAGGCTCAACATATCTCCAAAGTGATGTCCAATACGAAGGGTCTCGAAGTTGGAGTCTTGTAAGCCTCTGGGGTTAATATCACTGCAGTCAGCGACTTACCTGAGGGTTACAAGGTCTCGAGGATATGACGGGACTTTGAGCAGCCACTATACAGATCCCCTTGCAGTCGTTAATATAACCCGCAAGGAGTCGGTGTTAGGCCCGAGACCTCAACGCGAACCGATTTGCCAGCTCTTTCTCAGGTCAAGATCTGTAAATGCAGCCAAGTCATTTGCAGAAGAGTCTGCGCCAGAGTGTACAGACAAGCGCGCAGGACCATGGAAAATAAACGGGTGGGCTCATGGCTCTTCGCCCTGACAAGTTTGATCATCTTACTTTCATTCCGCCGCTGACCATGCCTAGATAGCGAGTTCCTCCATAGTATAGTATAGGGCTTGTTGCGACTTGTTGAGAGGTAGGTGTCAAACACCATTTCGCAGCATGCTCCCGGAGTTTAGGCTTCAACGCTTGTGAGATTTGGCGATCTGAAGTTCAGGGTGCATAGGGTTTCTGGGATCAGCACGTGAACCATGGAGCTAGGCCCCAAGCACGCCACCAAGGGGCCCTCAGAATTCGAGCAGTGGTTCGGGTGCATGTACGTATTCGCATACCTACCAGCTGTACGGAAAAGGTTTTACTAGTTATTCAGACCCTGCATTAGCTGAGTGGGTAGCCTACAGTCTTCTTCGGCAGGGACCAAAGGAGAGCTGGAATTACGTATTGGAGTGGGAGGCTGACGTTGACGACACCCTAAACCCTAAAGCCTCGCAAACTGTAGTAGCCTTAGCACAACCTAAACCCTAACTCCCAAACAGATGAGAATGAACTTTAGGGCTCATGCTTAATTGTATGGAGCTCATCATGCCGGTGTCCCAAAGTAGTACACCTTACAGCCCCAAACGTAGCCCAGTAGGTTCTTATCTTCCTTAGCGGTTATTCTGCTTTGTATGGGTCTCGAGGGATGTCCTGAGCCCTCCAAACTCCAGTTTGGGGGTGTAGAGCAAAGCACTGCGCAGTAAGTCAGTGCAGGGCAAGCAGCTACTTACAATGATCTGCTTACCCCATACCCTAAACCCTGAACCCCTAAACCTGCATATACCCCATAAGTCATGAACTTTCAGTCTATGCAGCGCATGCTGAGCAGTGGCTTGGATAAATCAAAACGGGGCTTAGGGGACATGCTAGTATAACGAATAGCATGGGCAATGACTCAGGCCCCTGTATTACCTGATCACCTTGCCAGGAGAAGTACCGCATGATCATGGGCGTTGGCTTTGCAGGCCCCCGGCGTTGTCTGCGGGTTTCGCGAGGTGTTTGAGTTTGTGCTGGAGCTATTGCTGTGGCTTTTGTTTATGTTGTATGTTTGGAGGCCTTTGCTGCGTGTCTTTAGGTATTTCTATGCTGGTCTCTAAGGGCGGCGTGAGGGTTTACGGCCAGGCCCTAAACACCAAGCCCTACGTGCGGAATTTCACTTCGGTTCTTCTCTCTCGGTTCTGAGCCCTGTCCTTCTGTTTTGGAACTGCAGAGCCTTCTAGGTTGCCTCAGCTTGGATCCCACCGAAGTCTCTCCTCTTTTGTTGCCGGGGTACCATTGCTAGGATCCAAGATTTAGAAACTAGAAAGGGCGACAGAAAGGGCGACCTCTGCATCTTTGAGTAGCTGCGTCCTTCTTCGGCTTTTTAGCTTTGGCGGGTGGGGGAGGCACCGCTTCAGGGGTGGGGGAGCTTTCGGGCAACGGGTGTGGTGGTTTCACGTTTGGGGCTTCCCGAGTTCGAGGGTTACTCTATGACTTAGGGCTGCAGGAGGACCTTGTGCAACCCAGATTTATCCGAATGGGTCGTGTTAACCAACCGCGGCACGGGACTTTTCCACGCACATGCGGGCCAGAAGCAGTGCAGAAAGCATCAGGCCAGAGCAGCTTCACTGAGAATGGAGATTTGTTCAACTTGGAACGTCTGCTGAGTAGCCCCTTATGAACCCTGCCCTATTCTGATTCCTATAGCCTCTTTTGCGGAACCAAGCCTTGGAAGAACACGACCCCTGTATGCATCAGATGCATGACCCAGCCTGTTCCAGCCCAAACACTTAGAGACAGCATGCATGCAAGGTTTATGTTCGGAACCTAGAGGAAGCGAGGCTGCAATCAGCTTCAAGTTTCCTTTTTTCGTGCCAGGCTTCAAGGCGAAAAAAGGCTACTACATCGGCTCGGCATGGGCCCAAGCAGCCTTCAGAGACAGCCAAGTCTGCAGGCCTTCAGCCTATCAAGCGGTTTAGGGGTTCAGGGTTCCCTCAGGCTTACATCTAAACCTCAAACCTTAGACGTTAGGTCCCTAAGCCCTATAAGCCTTAAGCTTTGGGTTTCAGGTTTGTTGGGTGTTGGAGGATTTAGGGATGGTTGAGTGTTGGGCCCTTGGTTTTGAGTTTGCGTGTGGCTGCTTTGGAGTTCTATTGGCGTTTAGACTTGTGTCATTGCATTTTTGGGATTCGGTCCTAAAGATGGGTGGTGCGAGCAAGAGGGTTTGGGGTTTAGGGTTGAGTCGGCTTGGTGTGGGACTTCCACGCTCAGAACCTTTCATCTTGATTCTGCAGTGGGAGTGGGGCTTTTTATGTAAGTAGTGTTACATTTGGGGTGACTTCACTTGCGTACAGCTACGACGGATTGATCCCCATTGACGTATTTCTGACTCTACTTCTAAACACCATGGAGCTTTTTTAAGTAGGTGCCGCTGATGGTAGCTGTTGTTTTCTAGGTCTCACAGTTACGGCAGCCCTTTCAAAACCTTGAAAGTCGGAGACACACCCTGATGATGTAAGCCCATGTGGAGCTGCCAACAGGCGCCGTAAATTGCCCCTCACCCGAACCCCTAAACCCGATGCACCCGCAACATCGCTTAACCCTAATCCTAAATTCTGCACCCAAACCCCACAACCCGCAACCCTAAGCCCAAAGCCTAAACCCTGTCCCTAAACCCCAAACCCGCAACCCTAAACCCTTTAAAGGAACCCCAAAGCCCCAAACCCTAAGCCCTAAACCTTTTGTCGGAACCCCTAAACCCGGAACCCTTGAAAGGAACCCCTAAACCCTAAACCCTTCAAAGGAACCCCTAAAGCCTAAACCCTTTGAGGGAACACTTAAACCCTACACCCTAATCCCTAAAATGCGAACGCCTAAACCCTAAACCCTTAAAAGGAACCCCTAAGCCCTAAGCCCTAATTCCGTTTAAAGGAGCCGTAGTAAACAAAGGGAGCCTCTGAGGTTCTCGGGGTGCCTCGGCTGGGCGTGCCCTGCATCAAGATGCAGGATTTCCCCAGCCAAGGGTGCATGTAGGGTTTAGGGAAGGTCCTTTAAGGGTTGAGGGAAGTTAAGGGTTGAGGGAAGTTAAGGGTTTAGGGCTTTGAGAGTAGTAGGGCCTTGCATGGGCTTGCCCTGAACATTTCGACAGATTTTCGACTGCGCTGGTCCCATCTGCAAGCAGCTCCTGGCTTTGAGCACTATTTAGTCGTCGAGCAAGTAGCCTTGCTAGTTTTTCGTTTGGGGAGTTGTGTATTCCTTTTTGCAATGTAGGGTTTATGCCCGAACCTAAGGTCCCCGATACTAGACTCCAGAAGACTCTCTGGGATTTTTTCTGATTTCCCTGAAGGGCATGAAGATCCTGATGTTTCAGCTTGTTGCCGCGTACTTGAGTTGGGGTTGCTGTGCTATTGTAGCCCGACTTGAAACCTTCTTGCTCGGTCCCCTGATCCTCTCAGCATGGGCTCTACGGGTTAAGTAGTTGGGCTTGCAAATCAATGCCTTAGATGAAAGCTAACACCCCACTAAACCCCCCCCCAAACCCGACACGCGAAGCTCGGGTTCAAAGCCAGTGGGGCTGGCACGGAAGGATCGGCCCGAACTTGGTGGATCTTCAAGCTTTCGGGGTACCGACAATGCTTCCCTACCCCCTCCCCTCCATAGCCTAAACGCTTAAACTCCGAACTCAGCAGTTTAGGAGTCTGTGGAGATTTCGTTCCTTCACAGCATGATTTGATCGGTGAGGTGCCAGATGAACCCTGGCTGCTTCCATTTAAATACATCCCGCCTGCTTAATCACCCCTCAACCCCAAACCTGAAACCCCTAAGCCCTAAACCCCTAAACCCTAAACCCCTAACCCCTAAATCCCTAAACCCTAAACCCTAAAGTCCCGTGACCCGTTCAGTAGGTTCTAGGAAGTTGAGGGGCGAGGCTTCTGATTCAAGACGTGCCCACACTCTTTCCAACTTGCAGTGTGTGCCTCACTCCTTTGCATAGGTCCTTTGCCTTCGGGATGATGTAAGGCCTAGCTAGTCTGTTCGTGAACTTCAAGCTCTATAGTAGACCCTAGTAGTTTTGTTCAAACAAAACCCCAAGACTCCCTGCAGCGTATGGCTCTCAGCCTATGCCAATGCTAGTGGAGCCAGACACCACGCCGAAACGAGCGGAAGATGGCGCGCTCGTCTGGTTGCAGGGTTTCAGGATTTGGTGCAGCCCGGATATCAGGAGTGTAGGCTTCTGGATTTCAGGGTTCAACTGGGGAGCCTAGCCATGAGTTTTGTCAGCACAAGACTATCAGGTTAGATGGTTCGGTTTTGGGGCCATAGGAGTAAACGTTTACCATATTGAACAAAAGCACTCATGTTACATCTAGTTCTCCACATGATAGGATGAGCCCTATAAAGGA